TCAACTGGATCTCTAAGCTAAAAGGTATTTTATCGAGAATTGACATGGAGTTTCTGTGCCTCTGTTTTAACCATGATGTTTGGAGTAATAATAAAGAGAAAATCCTGACAAGACTCGACAACAATTTAAAAGCGCAGGACTACCGAAGATATTCAGAGAGTAATCCATTGCAGATAAACTTTTTCAGAAATTTCTCGACTAAGCCACCCAGATACCTGTTATTGCGCTGCCCAATGGGTTTAACTCGTACGATTGCGCAAATTCGGTTAGCTAATATTTATTCTTGCAGGTTTCTTGTTAACATCTTAAGCTCACTGCGGAGTGAGCTAAATCTTCAAGCTCACTCCGCAGAAATATTGTAATTTATGCCACTTTGAACAGGAGGATTTTGCCCATATTATTTTCAGATGCCCTTACCATCACAACATCAGGGTTTTGCATTTCAATGAGATTGTCATTGATCATTACGAAGAGGATTGGTTGGCTACTTTATTAGACATAAAAGATCCCAAACAACTAAAACGTCTCGCGTTCTTTATTATTGACGCTTTGGAATTTAGGGATCGAATGCTATCGGATGATTGAAAGAGGAGAAATAAATTTGAATTTAGGAATTGAGTCGATCTGGAACCTGCCCACCATTGCATTTCATGTGTTTTAATTTTAATTCAATTGTATTTAAATCACGAATAATCGATTTGAGAGATGTACTGTCTGATCGCCACATTTGGCTTTATGTTTTATCTCTGTAACTAGATTTATTGAAATTGTATACGGCCACCCCCCGTGCAATGGGAGTGTCTTCTACGGTTGTAAACTCACGTAGGCACGTAACTTAAATAAATAAAATAAATAGTAACAATGGTTCATATTGAAAATGGGCTTAATCGGATAATTACTTTCTGAGATATTCAACTTTATATGTAAATCTAATTTTTTAAATATCTCAATAACGAGTCAACCGATCCTAATTTCAATTATTCAAGAATATTCATCTTGTTTTGTAATGTCCATGTCCTTTTGCTTCCGAATGGAAGCTATGTAATTGTAATTTTTTTCGATTTCCTAATTTTGGGTGGAAATGCCTAGAAATGTCATGAAACGTGAAGAAATGATGTTTTTAAAAAATGTCTGTATGTATGTATGTATGTCTGTGGTCATGTGTGTGCGTATGTCCCCAATTGCCCCCATAACTCGAGAACGGTTAACGCAAAGAACTTGAAATTTTGGCTACTATCTGGTACTATTGATACTCGAAACTGGGCTAAATTTCAGCTCGATCGGTTGAGCGGTTCCTGAGATACAGCAATTCCTCAAAAATCGTTTTTTGCCGATATCTCCTGAACCATTCGATGGATTCGATTTTTTTTTTCAAAATACTCGTCGTGATGATACCTATCTAAATGGATCGAAAAAACACCATTACACCACAAGCAATGTGGCTTTATTCTTGTTTTTTCATTTTTTCGCTGAAATTGCTTGTAAACTTGAAAAATAATCGAGATAGAAACTTCAAACTTGGTAGGATTTCAGGNGTACTGTTTGTTTTTTATATTTTTCATATCTTTTTTGAAATCTTTTTTCATCATTTATTTATCCCTTTTTCAACCCTTTTTTATTCTTTGTTTTTTGCTNACGCAAAGAACTTGAAATTTTGGCTACTATCTGGTACTATTGATACTCGAAACTGGGCTAAATTTCAGCTCGATCGGTTGAGCGGTTCCTGAGATACAGCAATTCCTCAAAAATCGTTTTTTGCCGATATCTCCTGAACCATTCGATGGATTCGATTTTTTTTTTCAAAATACTCGTCGTGATGATACCTATCTAAATGGATCGAAAAAACACCATTACACCACAAGCAATGTGGCTTTATTCTTGTTTTTTCATTTTTTCGCTGAAATTGCTTGTAAACTTGAAAAATAATCGAGATAGAAACTTCAAACTTGGTAGGATTTCAGGTCTTGTGATAACAAAGTTTGGTATTTTGGATGAGCAAAATCGGACCAGTAGTTTCGGAGATATTCAACTTTTTATGTGAAACTGTTTTGCTCAATATCTCAAAAACTATACAAACGATTTTTATTTTTTTTTTCAAAATGTTCGTCTTGATTTCATCTATCTGCATCAATCAAAATATGTATACCCCTCTATAGAAACTTTTCAAGATATTGCCGTTTTTGTATTTTTTTGGTCAGAATTCACTCTTGAACACTATAACATGGATTAAAATCAGGGAAACCTTTTGAAACATTGACTACTAGTTAGGATTGTCAAATAACATTCCTATATCCAATTTTAGGTCAATATATTCAATAGTTACTGAGATAGAACAATTTATCAAAGATTCTTAAGAAGAAAAGGATCAACGCATCTATATTTAACTGTTCATTTTCACTCTNTATTCATTTTCACTCTAGGCTGACTCAGAACGATCATATCACATAAAAAAAAATTTTTTTTTTCATTTTATAGAAATAGAGAAAATGAGGTAACGGTTTTATGACCACCGCAGCCGCACGCTGCCCATGTAACAACTAGTATTTCGCATATTTACTTATTCTCACTCCCTATTTATTCTGATCAACTACCTGAACATAAAAAGTCATGATTGAAATTTTTTAAAACAGTAACTCCGCTCTCAAGATATAATAATATTCAGCTAAATTTCAAAATGTAGCTGCTTCTCCATTTTAATGGGTGGAAGAAAAAATGTACATACGTAAAAGTGGCAGAGTCTATGGTATATCAAAAGGTAATGAAATTTGAGTATTGTTGGCCATAACATTTTCGAAAATACCAACCAATAAGTTTTCATTTCCAAGAAACATGGATCGAGTTCCATTCGGAAGCATACTACCAATGGAATTGGTAGAAACTAAAATAAAAGAAAAAAAATTTACACAAAAAGTAACAGTCATGAGTGATCTGTCAAATAGCTTCCGTCGTACTGTTTGTTTTTTATATTTTTCATATCTTTTTTGAAATCTTTTTTCATCATTTATTTATCCCTTTTTCAACCCTTTTTTATTCTTTGTTTTTTGCTTTTTGTAATGTCCTTTTTTTTATTATTCCTATCTTTTTCTAAATCTGTTTTCGCCATTTATTTATCCCTTTTTCAACCCTTTTTTATTCTTTGTTTTTTGCTTTTTGTAATGTCCTTTTTTTTATTATTCCTATCTTTTTCTAAATCTGTTTTCGCCATTTATTTATCCCTTTTTCAACCCTTTTTTATTCTTTGTTTTTTGCTTTTTGTAATGTCCTTTTTTTTATTATTCCTATCTTTTTCTAAATCTGTTTTCGCCATTTATTTATCCCTTTTTCAACCCTTTTTTATTCTTTGTTTTTTGCTTTTTGTAATGTCCTTTTTTTTATTATTCCTATCTTTTTCTAAATCTGTTTTCGCCATTTATTTATCCCTTTTTCAACCCTTTTTTATTCTTTGTTTTTTGCTTTTTGTAATGTCCTTTTTTTTATTATTCCTATCTTTTTCTAAATCTGTTTTCGCCATTTATTTATCCCTTTTTGCTTCCGAATGAAAGCCTTGTATTTGAACGATTTTTCGATTTTCTAATTTTGATGGCAAATGGTCTAAAATGTTATGAAAAGTGAAGAAATGATGTTTTTAGGGTCAATGTCTGTATGTATGTGTGTGATAACTTGGGTTTTTGGTGATCAATTTTAAGAAAATTCAACATAAATACAGTGAAATTTGTCGATAAAAGTCTTAAATTTTGGCTCATGGTAGCTATGATTAAGCTTCACTTTGGTACGCAGTTTCGGCCCGATCGGTCCAGTAGTTCCTGCGATATAACAACTTCTTTAAATTTCGTTTTTCCTCAATATCTCAACATCTGCTCCACCGATTTCAATAATTCTTTTTTCAAAATACTCGTCTCGATGGCTTCTATCTAGATCAATCAAAATATATGTACGCGTTCGGACAAAATTTGAAGATATTGCTGTTTTTCCGTTTTTTAATGAAAAATCTTGTTTACACGATAACTTGATAAAAAATGGAGATAGGGAGTTGAAATTTTGTATGCTTCAAGCTTTTATAGCATAAAAGGTTGGTATTGTGGATGGGGGCAATTGGCCGAGCGATTCTTGAGTTATTCAACCTTTTGTGTAAATATATTTCTTCAAATTTCTCATGAACTTCTGGACGGATTTCAATTTTTTTTTCAAAATACTTGTCTCGGTGGCCACCATCTAGATCAATCAAAATATGTATACCCGCCCATACAAAAAATCAGAGATATTCCCGTTTTTTCGTTTTTTAAATTTTTTCATTTTTGTACGCCACGATATTTTGAGAAAAAATGAAAATAGTAAGTTGAAATTTGGTGTGATTATAGCTCTTACAATATTGAAGATGCGTATTTTGGATAGGCGCAATCGGCCAAGCAGTTTCGACCTTTTAGGTATTCAACCTAAAGGATATTTAACCTTTTGTACAAATCTATTTCATTAAAAGATTGAATATCTTCCTGTAGACATCCTGTAGCATGTGGTTACGGTTGTTTACCTGTCACAAGGACAGGGAATTGCTACGGATCCATTCGGAAGCTTGCTACCAATGGAACTGGTAGAAATAAAAAAAAGAAAAGGACTAATAACGCAAAAAGTAACGGTCACATGCCTTCTGTGGAATGGGCTCGAACCCCTGCTTGTTTTACTTTTTCAAACCAAATTAATGATCTTCCGAAATTTCGAGATAAAAATCGAACAAAAAAAGTAATCTAGATAACGTTTGGCAGATAATGGAGTCGGGCCTTAAGTTCCTTATTTCAGTAAAGAATAGTTTGAACAAATGAGAGAATAATCAAAGATAATTATGAAGCACGAAACTCACTTTCTTTTCAATTGCTAAGAGAAAATTCGAACCCAAAATTTAAAAAATACATGTCAAGAACAACACAGTTTCTCCTCTAATTCTTCAAAATAAATGTAAATAAAAGTAATAGAGCTTAAAACTCATTAAATATCAATCAGTTTACCAATTAAAAGCAATGCTGCGTCCATAACAGCAGCGCCGTTCAACATAGTGGCCATAAGAATATCGTGTCCAGGACAGTCCACAAAAGACACATGTCTCTTCAGCTGAAATCTGCCCGAGCAAACAGGTCTCAGGCACGGGAACGAATCATCCTTGCTGGATCCTCCAGAAATATAACACGCGGGTCTCGGGCACTTCTCATTATCGCACTTGTAAATTTTAGCATTGGCATATCCTGAAATTTATCCCAAAAAAAAATCCCCTCATCAAGAATCCATTCACATATAAAAAACATGAAATTTATTTATCCCCTTAAATTTATTACAAATTCATTCCTTACGTATTGGTTACATTAAATCACCTAATAATAACGGCAGTTATGCATTTCATTACTCTCTTCGAATAAATCTTTAAATTTTTCTTTCAATTCGAAATTTGGCGTCGATAAGACTAAAGTTCATAGAACAAACCAGGAAACATGAGGCAATCAAATCCTGTTTCTATTCAATTTCATATTTCAACTTTATACAAATTCAATGGTGATGGGAGGTGCGTGATGACAATGACGTAAAAATATGTGAGTTTAACCGTCAATAATATAAAGTATTAAAAAAAACGTTAAAAATTTTAATCAAAAATTCATATTGTGAGAATTAGCATTGCATTTCAGGACGAAATGATAGAACGTGTTGACTCAAATTGAAGCCTTGATACCGATGTATTTTATCTGGGACTCATTATTGAAATAATTTAACAATTAATAGGCCGAATCATGTTTTCGTCTAATGTCAAATAAACACTTTGTAATTGCAAATTGATCTCAAGAACGACTCATTTCAGAAGAAAAATTCATAAAACATTATCCGGGGCACACGGAATTTTCAACAAAAATGTCTCCTGACATTTTCTCCTGAAACGATTCACTATTGAAACTTCCGGACAATCGATAAGTTCTGTGATACTTTTTTAGAGATAAAACCATGACTTATTCATGATTGATTTACCTAAGATCAGAAATACGCGATTCTAGAAAGCAAAATTGTAAAAAAAAATTTATAACTGTTGAAATTTTTACAGAAATGATTTTATACACATTGCCTTCCAAAATTATTTATTACTGAGATAATTAAACAATAAGATGAATCACATTCGACTAAAACATGAAATTCTTACTCAACAGTAATGCATTCATCTCGAAAATTAATTTTAGCAGAAAATGTCCAGAACCCTTTTGTTTTAGCCCAATAAGTTGCTAAAAAAACGTTTCTTGGCATTTCCTCCTAGATAATTCAACTTTTGGTGAGAAATTTTCATAAAATTCTTTTGTTGATAAAGAAATTTCCACAAAAAAGTCGCAATTGATTACATGGATTCAATGAAAAGTTGAAATTGTCAATGGTCAATAATTAATTTATGTAGACAACAACGAATTCCAAAAGAGAACATTTTCGCAGTTATAAAAAATTTCTTACAAAAAATATTTTCAGAAATTTTCTTCGAAACCTCTTGAAAATTCCTCCCTTAATCATGTTCTACCACTTCCCCAAATTGTACAATTCTTCATCAACGATGAATACAATTAATCAACAAATCAACTCGATGAATCCTTATGACTGACATGACCCCTAAAAATCGTTGATCCCTCAAATCTCAGAACAGGTACTGCCTACACCCTTTAGCCCCGCATTTGCACTTGGTCTTGTTCTCAGGCAATTTCCCAGCCCCTTCATCTTTATCCCCCGCCAATCTCGCCTCACTAGAAGCATTCAATTGGCCCATGGTTGTCATCTTCTTTTTCTCAAATCCCTTTGAAGTTTGACACATATAATCAAAAGTGATCTCCTCATCCTTATGAATATCCTTCGTAGCAAAGAGTGCAAGTTTGGGTAAATTAGGATCTAAACAATCAATCCAGACCCCATAAACCGCCGAATTAGGTTCACAAGAATGATTAATAAAATGCGATATATTCCCATACAAGGCAGCGTCGACAGTGTAAGGGCACTGTTCCTCAACCTCATTAAAATCGAGATCGAAAAGATACGTTCGTCCAGCTGCATCATACTCCTTTCCCCTTTTCTCGGCCTCCTCATTCGTAATGACTTCCCCCACATAGGCAGTGATAAAAGTCCCCTTCTTAATCAACTTCTTGGTTTTAACCCCCCACCCTCGTCCATTAGCAGTCCTAAAGATGCATAAATTCACCATAGAACCTCGCTGTACAACCCTGTTCTTACAATCTGGTGGGCATGTGCAACGTTTATTGCATTCGTAGATTGGTGTGCCTGGAGGGACACGAACACGACAGCCAGTGGTATAAGGAAATCCTCCTTCATATTGAGCAAAACAGCATTTCGCCTTGGCATCACATTTTTCACACTCACAGCCAATGGGAGGTTCATCTGGGATAGTGACACCAGCACCTGGGAGATAGTCGTCAATGTAATAAAAGTCTTGAGGAGTCACTTCTAAGTCCACAAAATTCTCCACTGTCACCACAGGTTTCCCTTTGGTGATGGTGTTGATCTCGGTCTCCCATCCCTGCAACGAATCCAACTGATCTCTCCTCGAGGAGCAGTACATCGAATGGATTATTCCTGTTTTAATCCTTTCGATCAATTTGAAATTTGTCTCAGCGTTGGGCTTAAAGTGAGTGCGAAGGTTTCTGTATAGAGTCGTCTCCTCTACTTCTATGTCGTCGATAGATTTCTTCAAGCGTTTTAACTCCTTCATGTGGGCCTCTAAGGCCGCCACATCGGGGTAAAAATTTTCGGTTGCTTTGAACTTTTCTAGAAGATTCGTTCTGTCAGTCTCAAATTGCTCTAATAATTCTGGACAATCTATCAGATTCTTCGCTGGCTCCCAGGTGTTGTTATCCGAGCTCCAGCTCTTCCATTTTATGTAGTATAAAACCTCTCCTTCCTTGATTTTTTTATCTAGTATTCTTTCTACTTCGTAGAGTTCGGGAGTTATCGGTAAAATGTATCCGGTTTTGTATATATCGTTGAGTTTTATACTCAGTGTCTTCAAACCATATTTTTTGTATATCTCACGGTCCTCATCTTTCAGTGAAATGTCTTTCGGTTGGATCGAGGAATTATCATCGTCAATCATTGTTTCGTGAAAGGCTGAGTCTTCGCTGTTTTTATCATCGCTCGAGCTACGTCTCACCCGCTTTGTCGGTGGTGGAGACTGTCCTGTCGATGCTCTAGCACGTTTATCACTTGATATTGGCATTTCACTAGTATCACCTGGTAGTTCAGCCAGTTCTCCGGTGGTTGACTCCGTCGCACGAGCTTCTGCAATGCCAAACATTTAAAAACGACGTCATTCACGGGACTCATCCATCGCCTTTTCGTTATTATTTTAGTTTAATTTTGGTTTTTCAATTTTTTAGGTCGAACTTTTTTTCCAAAGTTATTTGGGGTTGCTGTGACGCTCCGGTTGTGCTGAGGGTGCCTTGGGTGTTTCCTCTTCGTTCTTCGTAGCTTTTTTTGTGGTTTGTTTATTGTTTAATTTCATGATTTTGAGGTTTTTCAGGTGAGATGATTCAGTTGTTGTGTTTTAATTTGAAAGATTGAATAAAACTGTTGGTTCTATGGGATTTTGGCGGGGGAGGGGGGGGGGTATGATAGGAATCCGTACAACGAAATGCATAACTGAATTTAATTACTGAAGCAGAAGGAGTTTGAGCAAAAATTGCTATTTTTCACGGGTATTTTTTGAATATTCGAGAAACCGGAAAAGTGGAGTTTAGCATGAATTGATCTTTGTTGTTGAATACGAATGTTAAATGGAAAATATCATACACATTTTTTCATCCTGTTTTCACATTCCATCGTTTTATTCAACAAGATGATTTCATCCAGTGCAAAACCCCATGTCTAAATTTCAGCATCCTGAGTAGACAATTATCAGATGTCTAGGAACGTTCAACATTGTCTACTATTGTTGACTAAAATTGATTTTTGTTACTTTTGCAGTGAATGAGAGCTTCGACAAAGGTTTTCATGTAAATTCCGCCCTCTTCCATGGGTTCAGAGGTATTCAATTGAAGCAGATTAAATGTTAACAAAAAATGACGTATCTTGGTTTCGCCTATTTCATGAATATTTTGGGATATATTACCCCACATCTTGAATTCTTGATCGGCTATGATGTCTAATGATGTGATAGAGTATATAAGTTATGGTCGATAATAAAAATTCAGTGAAGTTCATCCACAAGGACCTTTTCTGTACGTCTCTCTGTATTCGAAAAATTCTCCATCATAATGCTACTATCTGCTTTCAATTTCAAGATATTTCAGCCTCCTCCGGACTAAGCATTTAAGAATCAAGTAAATTATCTAAAAATGAAGAATGTAGTATATGGTACTGTATTGACCTGAATACGATGTAAAAATTTCTTTTTTTCTAACAGAATATGATGTAAATTTTTTTTAAAGAAGAAAAAATCGACAGGTTTGGATGCTATGAATAAAAAAAAGATATTACAGAAAAGAACATCCCCCCCCCCTTAGTGAACTTTCCGAACTTCCCGCTCTCAATTTCCCCTATGAAAATTCCTCTCTTTAAGGCCAAAATTTCGCTCAAAATTGATAATATATTTTATGAAATAATTAACCGATCTTATAAGAATGAACTGTAGATTCTTCCAAATATGTCCGAATCTATGAAAAATACATGTAACTCCATGAAGACCATTTTGAAGCTCTCATTTTTCCCTCAATCTCTTTTCGATTCCAAGGTAATTCGCAAAAACTGATAAGTTTTTTTTGTAAACAAAAATTCTCGTGGAAATGAGTCTCCCTATAGTGTCGTATATCTCCAAACTTCACTATCTCTCCTCAATTCCGAGATAATACCCAAAAACTGACCCATGAGTGGAATTGACTGATTTAATTCTATAAAGTCTATAAAGTCACCGGAATGACTATTATGACATTTATGAAAAGAAAATATGCTCACCAAGTTTAATTGTGATATTTCTCTCAAGCTCGTTCTTGAATCGCACAGTTTGGACACCGGAAATCGCTTTCACTATCGTCGACTTCCCGTGAGCCACGTGACCAATTGTTCCTGAAGAAATCCACGGAATACATTAGGGAAAGCGAGAAACCTAGTTAATTAACCGAAGATATTTGAAAAAAAATGTTTATTTACCAATGTTGATGGTTGCTTGTCTGCTGATCACTTCAGGGGACAGAGCAGTCAATTTGGTAACGTCCTAAAAAAACGATCTTTTAATTTCAAGGCAGAGTGACAGTTGCATCAGAAGAGGACGAAATGTCGAAAAAATGAAAAAATCAGTCCCCAAATTAATTTTTTTAGAGTTCGGGATGTTTTCCTTGGACTTTTTCTGTCATTTTTGGGGGATTTAATACATTTTCAGAGTCTAAATATGGTGAGCATCGTTGGGGTTGGGTTAGAATCCGGGCAGATGTGATTTGAGAGGGGAAATACTCACGAGTTTGGACAAATCTTGCTTGTAGAGGTTCGGCTGGCCAGTCGTTACTCCAATACCCTCTTCACCGCCCATTATGATTGATAGTAATTCCGTAGATGGTTAAATCCTGTCAACTTGGAAACTTATACACGCGGCCGGGAGTCTCAGCTAGTGGAAAAGCCGTGATATTTTTTATATTCCATTAGCCGGAGGAAAAGCTGGTGGATAATATGATCACCAGCAGCGGGGGGAACTGGCGACGCGCGGCGTGGGAAATGAAACAGACGCGAGTTGATCATTTTTTGAGGTGACATCTGGCGGGAGATTCTTATTTCCGGTTTAGATGGTTTACACGTGTGTTTTTAAATTATTTCAGCGGTATATTTGAAATAAGTTTGGCACTTCAGTTGAATGCTTGCACAGATTGCACTCAGGGGAGAGCGATGTTTTGAAAATTATCACCCGTTCTTTGAAGAAAACAAGTTATACTCATATGTAGAATTTCATGGTAAGTACAAGGTGTCCTTCCGGCTCGCCGAAACTTCTCCCGAGTTTTACTAAAAGCTGGACCCACTGAAACGAATGTAGATACATTCAAGTAAATAATAATACGATATACATTACGACTAAATAAATTATTCGCTAATAAAGTTGCACGCTCCGCGTGCCTAAAAGTCCAATTTCCGCCACATTGTGATTAAATAGTATATTTCGTAACGAGTGCAAAAAAGTGTTTTTTGGCGAGTGGGAGGTTTATATCACGAGCTGAAGGCGAGTGATATAATCCCACGAGCTAATAGTATATTTCGTCACTAGGCCGAAAGAAACTTTTCTGGCGAATATGAGTTTGCAGCCCGAGCCGAAGGCGAGGGCTGCAATCATATGAGCTAGAAAAGTTTTTTTTGGCCATATGACGAACAGTATTTTCTGTTATGACGGCCGTAGGCAGAGATTCACGGACGCGGAGCGGAGCGGAGCGTCCGTGAAGCGCTGCCTCACGGCCGGAATGACAAAAAAAACTTTTCAAGCTCATATGATTGCAGCCCTCGCCTTCGGCTCGGGCTGCAAACTCATATTCACCAGGAAAGTTTCTTTCGGCCTAGTGACGAAATATACTATATATATAAAGGGAAGCATAATGGCTGCCGAATGAAAACTCGAATTGAAGAATGTCGAATTGATTCACCGAAAGTCGAAGTCGAACGGACGTGTTCGATCATGAACGTATGAAACAGAAATAGAGTGTCGTTCGAATAAATTGCCACATGATGGCAATTGTTATCTTCAGAGTCATTGCGACGGATGAAAGACGCATTCTCATGAGAACTTTCATGAGAATGAGCAATTCGGCCGCGACAGTGCTATTTACAAAAGCGCGCTAGAATTACAAATCGGATTTCTAACCTCGAATAAGAAACGAACACCGTGTATGCATTAAATACATCAGTGCATATTTTCTATAATACACGCATTTGTTTATAATTAGTGGAATGGGAAATGATTTTTTGGTGATAAAAGTTACAAGCTGACAAGATTAAATTATAGATGATTAATGAACTTGAATGTCGAGAATGAATTGAAAAAAAAAATAGAAAATCTAAAAATATTCAATTTTAAATTTTTCATTCGATTTTGGTTATTCGATGGTTTGTTTAATGAAGTCAATTACTTAACTTATATCACAAAATCAAATAATATTGATTTTTTTGACATGGAATTAATTTTTGGTGAAATTCTGAAAACGGAAGAATTCGTTATAATTCAGGAATAGTACATTACATGCCTTCGAAAACAGATCACCGCCCTCCACGTGCAAGATGGCCTTCCGAGTCGAAGGCGAGGATGGGGTTTTTCAAGTCCCATTACACGAAAAAAATTATTCTTTCAGTGAAACATTGATTGCTATTGGATTATTTATATAAAAAACGATTGTGGTCTTCGAAAATTGTGATTTTCCAATCATTTCATTAGTGTATTTCAGAAAGTCGACTTCATTTTTTCCTAGCAATTATACTGTTGAAAAAAATTGAAATCCATGGATAGTTGAGTGGTAATTTTGAGGAGCAAGGCATTTAATTTAATTTGAGAAAGGAAAGTCATGAAATTTGAAAATTAACTGAAAATTTAATGGAATTCAACATTTCTTAACAGTATGAAAATAAAAAGTTGCTTGAATTTTCATTTAAAACGTGAATATTCTGCACCCAATTTCTTACTCTGTATTTTCGATTGATAAACCAATTATAATTGTTCTAATCATTTAGGTCGGGGGCAATAGAATGATTCAACTTTCTTAATGTTGCGTTTACTAAGGTTTTCTCCAAAGTTGATTAGAATCAATAACTAGAATTATGAGTTTATTATGACATTTTTTACATGAAGTGCAGAAGAATCTGAATGCACTACAGTGCAAATGATGATAGATTTTTTCACGTTGAACAAAGAATAATAATAAAAAAATAAGGAATAAAAAAATTCAGTTATGAATGAACAGCTGTGGCTCAATATTCCATAACAGTAGAGAACAGGAATGATGATATTTTCATAATATCTGACACATTAACATGAATTTCAGATTCACAAAAAAGAATCAAGCAGAAGTCAAATTGTCATTTTACGTTTTAATTTCCAAAATTTGGTGCTGAAAACATGAGGTGACAATATTCTAAATGGGGAATTATGTTGATGATATGAACAATAGATTAATTGAATTACCGAGTGAACTGATTGAAAAATTGTATCACGGTGTTGGCAAGCACTTTTACCAGAGTATCACCAAACATTGAATTTCGGCAATTTACTCGTCCAATTATGTTCGAGTAGAAATTGGATTGTAATTATGATTGAAATCTTATTCAGTGAGCAGAGGAATTAGCATATGCGCAGATTATTTATTGCAATATAAATATTTCATAGTTAATAAATTGAGGCACCTCATTTTCATCAGTCGCACTGCTTTTTGCAATGACAATGATTATGGACAATGAATAGAAGAAAGGAATTCTGAGTCCGACGGTAAAAAAGGCAAAATGAACATTGCAGCCGGAATTGTGTTATAAATATGGTAAGAGAGCCCTTCAGCTTGACTAAGATAGTAATCAAAAGTCGAAACTATTGAAACTGATAATATGAAAATTTTAGAGTAGGTTTTATCTTTTATGTGAGCACTCATCAAGAGATTGTTAGAAATTAATAAATACGTGTTTCAGCCTCGTTACAAAATCCATCTCTAAGGGGGTGAATAGGGAATGAATTATAGAAACTTTGAGGAAGGCTGCAGGTTTCCAAAAAAATCAGAACTGTCAATTTATTCCCCAAATGTAAGATAATTCGGGACTTTTCCAAAAATTCAAGACAATTATGAGGGTTTCTGAAGACCTTAAAGACAATCTATGGAGTTTTTGAAAATTACAAAGCATTTACAATATCTCTCAAATATTCGAGGATTGTTGAATAAATAATGGGAAAACAATTGATAGGAAAGGGCGGCATTTCGCAAATAAAACTGATTCGAAGCAGTCATGAAAGCCCGAATACTGCACTCTGATTAATTGAAATGCGAAAGGAGGAAATAATTTGGTAATTCTTCGGATTTTCTCCACAATTCCACAAAAATTTTCAAGTTTCTTGAAAAAAAGTCATATAAATTTCGAAAGATTATAGAAAATTTGAAAAAATTTCAGATGATTAGATGATGAAAGTTTGAAGTTTATGACATCGTCGAATAAAATTGTGAAAAAAATCATGAACGAAGCGAAGACACTTCGAATCAGCGAAAGAACATCAGAATTGACCCCATAATTTTTCTGGAAAAATAATTGAATACTGTCAAGTTGTAAACGGAAATAAACAGGGAGGCGAAGACAAAAAAATTATGGTCTGTGAGAAATTTGATAATTGTTGTTTTGCACTCTGAATATAATTTTGATTACAATAGTAATTAAAATTTCATTCAATGAGGAAGGAAACTCAGAATTAGTGGATCACTTATTATAATATTGAAATTGAACAAGCAATGAACCGAGACGCATTGTTTTCATTAACTTTAACACTCAATAGACTAAAACGACGATAAATCATTAATTTTCGAAAGAAACAAAAAAAGCAAAGGCATAATAAATGGGCATCAACGTCGCGGCCGCTTGCGGCCGCGGCGGCGCTAGTGAGAAATAACGGAAAACCACTTGTTGAAGGTGGCGCCCTATTAGTTGGTGGTTATCCCTTCGAAGCAGACATTATAAGGGAGATTGCCAGCGCTTATGGAGAAGTTTCAACCAGAGATTATAGGGGAGATGAGCAGGGCCAATGTAAAGTGTTCAACAACAAAGTTCAGAGCGGTGGCGCATGGACTACGATGGAGCGTACAGAACTGTTGGTATGGTAGGGCCCGAGCATAAATTTGTCGATAACCGGAAAGGGGTTCTCAATACGGTAGCTCCTCGCATTTTGTAATAATTGTCAGGAATGTAAAATCGAACATATTATAATCAATAGTATGATGCAGAATCTAATGATCTAAAAGTCGTTTCCTTTTTCTCGACATATTTATTATTGACACGTAGGTCAAAAAATTCATAGAAAATCCCAGCGCTGTCGCTGGAAAACTCTATAGTGTTCCAGTGATTCTATTGAATAATTAGCCACTTTCACAATCAACTCCAGGAGCGCCAGTAGTGGCGCTGAGGTTTTCAGCGTGACAAACCCTAACGCTTGAGTGTCGATTGACGTAACCACATTCGAATTGAAAAAGCTGGAGAAATTGGTAAAGAATCAGAGATAAAAATGGAAAAATTAATATTGACAGAGGATGAGGTTCCTGGTGCAATATTGCCTCACTCCAATGTCGGTAAAAATCTCGTCGTGGATTTAAGACGCTGGCTCGTTTGCCGCAATATTTCGGCAGCGGGAAAAAGGGCTGAATTAGTGGAAAGGTTAGAACGTTCAACATGTTTATGTTTGTAAATTTAAGAATATTCACAATTCTGTTGTTAACAATAAATTGGGTTCATAATTATCGGAAAGGAAATAAAATAGTCTTCTTGTCCTCTATTTAGAGTCAGAGCATGTATCGCAAGTGGACAAGCAGCAGAGATTTTTGTGGACGTCGACAAGTGTCGTTGGTTGGAAGAAAAAAGGGGAAGAATGGAACTAAATAATAATACCATCATCCACTTATACTCATCGACGCTTCGCATCTGAGGGTTATGTTTTTGAATTTGACGGACATTAATTTACTACTTTCCCTGTGCGGCGGCGTTGTTGCTTGTCCCGGCCGACGCTATAGCCCTCACGC